TTTATTATTTTATTATTTAAAATAATTTAAATTATAAAATAATTTTTAATTAAATATATTATACACTTTTTAAAAAAAATTATAATACTCATATAATAGAACTAACTAAAATATTTTTACTAATATCTCAATGAAAGTAGAAAGTAGAAGAGATACACTGCACAGAATTTTCTCAGAAATTACTGGAAGGAACAAGTATATTGGTACAGCCAAGGATGTGGACGCGGAATCAAATTTTAAAATTCTAAGTTCAAACAGTGGTGCACAGCTTAGTATGTAAGTACTACAAATTATTGAGAACTTTAATGGGACGTCCTTTTTTTATTTCACTGTCTTGTGTTTTATAGGGGCGTCTAGTACATCACGTGTGTCTAACATCTTTTAACTTATACAACGTAAACAGTCAAAAGTAACCCCTATAATTGAAAAAACTGCTCTATTGCTATGTAGATGTCAGATCGGATTTCAAATCACATTTCAAATTTATTTAATGGTAACGAGGGATGCAAATTGCCCCCTCTGCAAACTTCATTCAAATTTGGCTGTCTAAATCTTCAGCGCCCCACACTCAAAGGACAATTATCACGTTCACCGTCGGTGACAGCTTTAACTTTAATTATCCCTCTTTTTTTCTTTTTTTTTTTGAAAATAAGCGATAGAACTTCAATTTTTTTTTTCGTAAAAATTAATTAAAAATAATGTTAATATCTGTTAAAAAGACTCGAATCGTTCAAGAAATACAGATCACCTGCTGTCAAGGACAGCGTGACCGCTTGGAACACGTGGATGTCTTCGATTATACTTTAGCACGTGAATCGCGATGAATTCCACTCCATAGGTTTTTTTTCTTTCCGTCTAAGCTAAATAGCTTTCTTTGGTCCTTAAGTTTTAGCTCAAAGTATAAGTTGGTCCTCAACCTTCACTTTGTTAGTTTTGCGTTAGGACTGTAAATGAGTTACGCTACCCTAGTAAAATTTAAGTTGGACCTAACTTCCACATGAGTTTAAATTTGAGTTAAAAATTCAAAATAAAAAATAAATATAATCAAATTCAAATTATAAATTAAATTCAATTCGACTTGATTCAATTATGTTAAAAATTAATTATATATATTAGATATTTAAAATTATAATTTTATTTAATTTAAATTTTAAATTAAACTCAAATACTTAATAGAGCTTACAAGTTTTGAAATAGACTCATTATTTTAACATCAACTCAAATTTAAACTAAAAAACTTATTGTACTTCTTTTTGCAATTCTGAGTGTAATACCCACAAAGTTAAAAATTTGCATATTATAAATTGTCTTTTTTGGTTTTCATTTTTATGTACGCAACC